ACCTGCCTACACACGAATAGTCAAATTTAAATATGTTTTGAAGTGTAGGCGTTCTTGTTACTGTCTTATTTATTACAAGCGCAATTTTTTCAGGGTAGGTTTAGGAGCCGCCATAAAATTATTAACCACATGCTGTCGTTAAGGCAATTTAAAATATACTATAATTTTTTTTATACAATTTAGAACATGGCAAACAAGCTAACGGCCCACCTTTTACAAAGTATCGATAGGCCATCGCCTCTAGACATGAACAGAATCATAGACATCACTTGATACTTCCATTCTCTGTAACTTCACTGCTATATTCTATTTTGCAAACTGAAATACAACTATACAAAGTACAGTTGCTTCACAGCAGAAACACAAGTACGACAGTGATGTTCAAGCAAACGACTTTTATACAAAGTCTCTCTGGTATGTTTATAGGCAATGATCTATGTAATCACTTCAAAGATGTCGTGTAACATACTAATAAAAAAAAGAATTAGGAACGTTTTGAAGTCCATTGAACAATGTCACTTTATAAAACCAGCTCCAGACATGAATCACAATGGTAATATATTTCATCAAAGTATTCCAAGTAGAGAAATGAATTAATACGTTTCTATAAGAAGGGTTCAGAGATTTAAATAATATCTATGCAAAGCGAAAATGAACAATCCACATTTCAGTAATTTTCCGCCCCTTCGTCATCGTTATAGGAAAATTTCATTGGGAATTTCCCAAATGGAAAATAAAATGTGCAAAATATAATGGGAAGCGACACAGGAGAAAATTGCAAATCCTATTATTATTTCGTAACCTTTTTTTGCGAAACAATAAAAATATCGATGTTTCATTGAAAAATCCAATTTTTACATTCACTCATAACACTCGTAATTAGTTAGATAACTAACATTGTTTATTCGGGGGAGGTATTGTTAGTATTGGGGATGTAAAAGCCAAATTGTTACCTACCTACCCTATCAGGTCGACTTCTACGCGGTTCCCCCTGGAAACCCATATTGCTTAATTCTATTTAGGTATCGTTTTTCATTGATGCCCTGGATTTTTTTTTTGCCAGAGGAAAATTGTTAGTGATGGGGATGTTTATTTATTTTTTGGAAAACGTACAGCTGAATTACAATCGATACATAATCAAATTTATATCTATGTCATATATTCTGTCAGGTCGACTTCCACGCCTGGAAGCTGCGTGGGTTCGTTATACCGATAGCGCAAGCGGAGTTATCATTCTATCTTCACCCATTAATAACACCCTTGGAAGTTATTGCGATTAATTCTTGTTGAATTCATCACAGTGGACTAACTGAGCTGGTTTCATTTTCACCTATCACCACTAACTGGTGCCAGTGTATACTGACAGCGTAGGACACCATTCCATTATCACTCATTAAAAAAATGTTTATTCAATTTAGAATGATCGTTTGCTGATACTCCACTGATAACCGTCTATTAAATATATACGTACTTACTTACTGTTGACATCTTTTTAAAATTGTTAATATTAACACTAAATTTTCTAAAACATATATATAGGCATAAGGTCAAACTAATGTGCCTATTTATTTATATTTTAGATGTTTTTTATCGTTTATGTAGTTGTACATCAAGTACTCTAAAACGGTTGTATATTTGCATTACCTAAGAGTAGGATAACTTATAATGGTAGGTAGTTTACGATAGAAAGAAGTATAATTCTGTAAATAATTTATTGAGAAACTATAAATAATTTCTCAAACCAAATGTGTAATGGATAATTTTTCTATTAAAATATTAAGGGAGTATCCAGTGCCACACGAAATAAGTAGCGAGCAAAAGCCAATTAATTTCTCCGATGTGAAAATGTGTGTATATTGTGTACTAGCAACTCATCCCGGCTTCGCACGGGTGAACATTTTTACAACATTTTACATTTTTATCTAATCCTACCTAGTTACTTATTTCATAGATGTGCTCGCTCCTACCTGCCCCTCTTCCGCACCGCTAAAATAGGTATGAATTACATGTACAACGCGACAGCGTTATTTTTTCTATTTCTATGACTTATTAAATTCGTAATATCTATTGAATGGAATAGCCGATTTGAACAATTCAAAAATTAGTCTACATAAATTGAAACAGTTTTGAAAACAATATGATTTATTTGGATAAGGATTTAAACAGAAGTGAATTTCTATCAACTTTTAAAATGTAAAAAGTGGTTATTGTGACAAAACGATAATACTTGGACATATAGTATTATAAATCGGCAAAGTAGTTTTTGAATTTATTCATTACAAACATACACACAAGAATACAAATCTTTCCTCTTTATAATATTAGTGTTGATGTAGATTTGGACAACTTCGCGAGTAATCTTTTTATGGAAAAACAGTGGTAAACAAAAACTAGAAACCTAATATAAAACGGTTAAAATGATCAATAAATATGAACAGCACTATGGACATGATACCTACCCTTCATGGTGCCATTCCTGAGGAGTACAGGGTTATAAGTATACTAACTACACAAATAAAATAATAGTATTATTATTACGAGGGAGTGTTTTTATGCTCGTGGAATGGGGGATTAATTTTTACTTTTCAATATATTCACCTGCAAGATGGATACATTTTTCAGATCCTCCAATTAATTTATGTATACCCTCATAAAAAAAAAATTCTCTTTATCTTTAAAATACGCCGAAACTGCCTCCTTGACTTCATCATCGGTAGTAAATTTTTTACCCCGCAGCTCTTTTTTCATTTTTGGAAACAAGTAAAAATCACTCGGGGCCAGGTCTGGGCTGTAGGGTGGGTGGTTCAAAATATTGAAGCCCACCTTAAGCAGGGCTGCCAACGCACCGCGGCTCTTGTGGACGGGCGCATTGTCGTGCAAAAGCAGCACACCTTTCGTCAATTTTCCCCGTCTTTTCTCTTTAGTGGCTTCTTTCAGTCGCTCTAATATTGAAGCGTAGTATTCTCTGGTTATAGAAACACCTTAACTTTATAATCGATCAATAATATTCCTTCGGATTCCCAAAAGACTGTTGCCATGAGTTTCCTAGCTGTGTCACCATAAACTTCTTTGGAGGTGCTGTGCCCTTTTCATGCCACTGCATGGAGTCTTATTTCGACTCAGGTCCATAATGATGAACCCAAATTTCGCCTCCAGTAATAATTCGACTCAATACACCATCATTGTCTTCATTATACAAGTCCAAAAATGCACGTGAATATTCCACACGCTGTTATTTTTGCAGCGGCGTGAGCATTCTCGGCACCCATCTTGCGCTGACCTTAGTCATGCTAAAATGATCGTGCAGGATTTTAAGGGTATTTAATGCAGGATGGTTGTATCGGATACTCCAACCATTTCTGCTAGTTGTTACTTCTTTAATCGAGCATCGAGTACAGTTTTATCAAACTTTTTGGATAAGTACTGGCGTAGTCACCTCGATGCTCGTGCCCGGCCTCGAGTCATCTTCAAGGGATTCCCTTCCTTGTTTAAATAAACTATGCCACTTGTACACTAGGGTTTTTCTTGGACAAGAGTCGCCGTAAATCAATGACATCTCATTCATTATGGGGGCAACTGATTTTCCTTGCTTGGTAAGGAACTTTATAACGGCAAGAAATTAGATTTTTTCTATATTTCACTTTTTACTCCCGATTATGTTGCTTGGTTGACGATAGCTCAGACTAATTATGTAATAACAATTAAACTTCGTATTACGATGAATTATAAGTCATTGAACACGTTTCGATCCTAATGAGCCTAATCACTCCCCTATAACCCTTTCATTCCGCGAACATAAGAACACACTCTCGTATTTCATTACAATCAAATGTTACATAAGGATTAATACGAGTGTTGCCTTTTAAGTTGTGTCGTTTGAAATAAGTATAGACAATCTAATAGATTATTATCATTTATTGTTTTTCAAAAAAGAATAACATTATTTCCATAATTAAAATTAGCCAATATACGTGGGACACTAAAAAAATGTTCTATAGATAAGTATATCTTTTCAAAGTACTCTAAGAAGTACAGCTATGACCTCACACTAGGCAAAACCTGTTTCGTGGAAATAAATACACTCGCGAGCAACCAAATCGACTTAACCCTTGACGGCGCACATATGCATTTGTTAGATATTTATTTTAAATTATATTAATTTTCTTAAACATCTTGTGTCAAAATGTGTACCTACATTTATTAATAAATATCAAAGTAACTAAATATAATAAAGTATTAAAATTGTTATTATACTGAATTTGGTAATAAATTATTCTTGAATGTATATAGAACCCTAATTTATATTTTAATTGATTTTATAATTAATTATTATCATTATACTTAAATAAAAAATAATCAAATCGTAAGAACACGTGGTCTCACTGACTTGTTTACTTGAATTCGGCCGTGTGAATATAAAAGATTATCATTTGGGTGGAGAGACACTTCTTGTCCAACCGTTGAACAGAGCTTGGTCTTGGAACTTGGTCACTCTTACTACGTCAAGGAGCTCCTCCTTGACGTATCAAGAGTGACCAAGTATAGCAAACCACGTGGTCATTATATAAAATATATCACAATTATTGTTGTTGAAGTCCTAAAAGAAGCTATAATTAAATAAGTGTCAATGGATTAACAGAAGTTGGGTATTTATGTTATATATTATATGCAAAGTAAATATATGATTTAATAGTTTGATATCTAAATTAAATGAACTGTAAATACTTGTGCTTCATTTCTTACTAAAAGGCTTACAACCTTTATATTGCTAAAGAATATATCATATACCATGTAAAGTTACAATTACGTAATTACTATATAAACCTATTACCCTAGTTATTTTTTAATTTGATATCATTATCATTAAAATCCATCAATTATTTCTTAAGTAAATGATGTCTGAATGTAAGAGTAGGAAAAATGGGAATTTAGGAAAAGGGCCTAGGTACGAGGGTCATTTGAAAAGTTCTTAGCCTAACATACTTAATGAAACCACACGATTTTGAGTTTATTTTTATTTTTCAACATACTCTCCTCCGAGCTCAGAACACTTTTTCCATTGACCCGGTAAGGCTTCGATACCCGTTTTAAAAAAATCTTCGTCTAACTCCTCAAAATAAACGTTTTGATCAGTGGAAGCAGTCGAAGGCCGGCCACTACGGGGCTCATCTTGAATGGTCTCACGATCACGTTTAAACTCTGCCACACAGTTTTTAATAGACGCATACGAAGGAGCGGACTCACCCAAAGTAGCAGACATGTCTTCATGTATAGCTTTTGGAGTTAAACCTTTCAAATTCAGGTATTTTATCACTGCACGATGTTCAATTTCACCCATTTTCAAAAATAGCTCTGACTTGACTTACGGTATCACGTGTAAACGAACAATGAGTTACTGTGAATAAACTGTGCATACTTGTTGCTAAATAATGTAACTACAAAATGAGGGTAGTTATAAAAAAAAAACCAATGACTAACCATGCTAGGCTAAGAACTTTTCAAATGACCCTCATACCGTATTTTGGAAATTAAACAAAAAATGGTAAGAATAAAAAAAAAATTAAAACAATACTTGGTATTGTTCCCTCTAGCCTTTATTACAGCCTGCTGTTTTTCTGATCTTATCAATTTTTTGAAAATTCTTAACAATTAATTAACACATCAAAATAAGCAATATGAATACACATTTAAAAAACATGCATATTATACTGGTGAAAAGCCATTTAGTTGTGATGTGTGTAAAAAATGTTTTAAAGCAAAGCAGCATTTGAAACGGCACTTCCACAGTGTTTATACTGTTGGAAAACTCTATTATTGTGATGTGTGTAAAAAATGTTTTACAACAAAATATATTTTATATGGTATTTGCATATTATACACATTACTAAAAGGCCATAATAGTTGTGATGTATGTAAAAAAAAAATTAAAATGAAGCATAGAATTTGATACAGCACTTACATATTTATACTTTTAAAAAACTGTGTATGATGTATAATTATGTAAAAATATTTTTACAATGTATGTAGTATACAAAAGTTAAAAGAGCATAATAGTACAGACTAAAGAGCTATATCCAGAGGTAATTATGACATTCCACATTTAATATCAAAATTTGATTATTATTGTGTTTGTGAGATTTGAATGTACATAACAGTTACAATATGAGCTATGTGAGCTCATCTGTCTATATAATATGTAACATTTACTAGAAATATTTTTGGAGAAAACTAAAGGTTCTGTCTAGTAGAATGCTAGTAATGTGAACATTAAAGCATCAATTTTCAGAACCAGAGAAAACCTTTTTATTATTGTTAATGTAGGTATTTAAATTTATAAAAAATATTTTTAGTATATCTTTTATATACATAAAAATAAAAGATCCTGCAGATATTGAGATTAATTATGAAAGAGATGCCCTATTTATATAGATATATAAATATCTATCATAAGTACTTTTGTGCTCTTTGTTCTAAAATATTTTTACATAGGTCACAATTATATTTTATTTTCAATTTTAATAAATATACAAGTGCTGTGTAAAATGCTGTCTTTGTTTTAATTTTTTTTTACATACATGACAACTATTATGGCTTTTTAGCAGTGTGTATAATATGCAAGTATCATATGATATTTTTGTTAGAAGACTTTTTTTACACACATCACAACTCTAGCGTTTTTCAACAGCAAGAATATGCAAGTGGTGTTTCAAATGCTGCTTTGTTTTAAGACAATTTTTTACACAAACCACAATAGAATTGCATTTCATCAGTATGGCATGCATACTCTTTCAAACGTGCATTTGTGTTATAACATTTTTTACACACATCAATACCATTTGGTTTTTCTTTAATATGAAAATATGATTTTGGTGTATAAGGTTTTTTATAATAATTATAAATATATGGTTTCTGGCCAGTATAAACACGTAAAATGTGGTGTTCAGATCCATTATGACATTTCAGTGTTTTTCTGTACGCATTGGTATCACACGGAGAAGACTTATAAGATTCAATTTTCCTTTCCTGCTGCATATATTTATGGACTTCATCCATATTATACAAGTAATTTTTTGAATCAGTTTTAAAACACTTAAAAGGTTCTTCTTCCAATTTACTCTTCACTTTACAATCTTCATACTGTTCTATAGGACTGCAATTTTCTTTGCCCAAAAACATGTTGTTAATTATGGCTGATTCTTCTTTTACATTAATATGCTTAATTTTTATAATTCCAGATCTATCTGTATCACACTGCATAACTTCTAATTGAATCAATTGTTTCCGATGACAATTCTTAAATGTAGATCATCTTCTTGCATTTGTCTGCAACAAGATCAGATTTTGGGTCAAAATTCTCATTGGTTGGTGGGTAACTCGAGGGGTAGTATGTTTTTTGATGATAATGAAATTGTAACCTCATCCACACTATCATTATACACTATACACAAATTCAATGTTTCATTTCAATTCACAGTTCCATGGGGAACCGCATGGAGGTCGACCTGATAAGGTATATTGATAGCAATGGGGACTAATCTCTCCATTACTAACAATTCCTTCTCTCTTGGATGATAATGGCATACAGTAGTAACTCCAATCGTGCTAACGGTATACTGACGGAGCACTAGTGAGGATAGGTCACAGGTGAGACTGAAAAAAAAAACAGATCAGTTAGCCCATCATGATGAATACATCTGGAATTCAGCGCGATGATTTCCAGGGGGAACCACGTAGAGGTCGATCTGACAGAGTATATTGCTAACAGTGGGACAATAATACAGATTTTAGAGGGGACGGAATTGTTAATAATGCGTTTAGTAAACACTTTGTAAGAAATAAGGATATATTGTTAGTACTGAGGTTAGGTTAGTTACCACATGGTGTCTCCAGAATGTCATCTTAATTCTACCGATAGCCCACATAGTCACCATTCAATTTTTTAGGCCAAAAAATGCATATTAAACCTAATACGTAATATAATAATAAACCTAATACCTAATACGAGCATAATGGACTCTATGATGCCAATAAACTTGTTCACTATAGTTGCGATGTCACAGTAATAGAATATTTTTAACTAAAGAACATTTTATGATTTAATTTTAATATGTATTACATTATAATTGGTAATATACTCTCAGAAATATAATTCAATTTTATCGATCGACGTTCGGGAACACTCGAAGTCAAAGAGAGAAGATTTTTTCACCCGTTAGTGCTGTTAGACGGAGATAGCCTTGACAGTTTCACCGGGCCTGTATGCAGGAACGAGAGCGGTGACACTCCAAGACCACGAGAGGGGAGCAACAGAGTCGAAAATTAAAAATCTTCACCGATGGACTACAATAAATACAAGAACATAAAGTATAAATATACAAAAAATTTAATGACAGTGTTGCCAACCCGAATTCTAGAAAATTAGTAGATTATGCGCCAAATGTTGTTAGAAGTTGGTAGAATGTAAAATGCAAAATCGGTAAATCAAACCACCTCAATTTAGATTTTTTTAAGATTAAAAATGCATGAACTATTCTTAAAATGTTTATTTTTGGAAATTATACATATTTTTATTGAAAAATTTTAAATGTTCTGCGCTAGGCTGCCCGTTGTTTGCTATGAATCTTTTAGTATGCAACAATCCTTCTAGTCTCCGTGCATATTCTATTTCTCTAGAAGGTTTTCATATTATTAATTGCAGAAAACAATATGTCAACGTTGGCGCTTTTATGTGGAAGTACGAATAATTTTTTCACGAATTCGCATAGCAGGGGAAACATTGGATCGAATGAAACATGCTTCCAGAATTCTTCAGGTGTAGGACATTTTTTTCTGTGAAATGAAATGTCATGTTTCTTAATAATCTTCACTCTCGGTCCAATTTGGTCATGTTTTTTAGGCATAGTCCTAAAAATAAAAATGTAATGTAAATAAAAAAAAAATTCTAGAGTAGACAACATTTTATAATTTTAACTTTATAACGTTTAACTTGCCTGGAACAGAACAGTATAATAATGTCTATGGGCGCGAAATGGCGCGAACGGAGAACTGTTGCTGACGTTTTTTTTTTGTGGTTTATTGCCTGAACTCTATGTATGTTGACGTATCGTCACATGGCTCACGCTACACATTGCAACGTCGCTCGTCGATATAAAAATAATTCAAAGTGGTGATATGTCAAACTAATAAAAAAAATAGGTAGTTTTTAAGTCTAGGTTGGTAGATACGTTGACTGAAAAGAAAATTAGTAGATCTACCGAAAAGTTGGTAGATATGACATCACTGTTTCAGGGATAAAAGAGACTATGTCTCGAAATTTAAGAATTTCCAGGCTTGTAATAAATGAAACATGTTTTTTTATATTAGTACACTTATATTTTTGTGCTGATGTTAATCCACTAGACAACTGTCAGAGTCAAAATAGCAGATAAGGTTTTGCTTTTTTTTAGCGGGTGAAATGGAATGATACCTATTCAAAGTACTACCTTCATCTGCCCTATGTTCTTTTTTTCAAGGACAATCGGTCGTTATTTTTACGACCATTTCTGCCAGTGTCTTGTATAAAAAGCTGCAGTACGATTGCAGTCGTTTTCCATTCAACATACCATTATTATTCAGTACGTACAGTAAAGATTTGACAATTAAAATTACTTTGTTATCACAAATGTTTCAGCTTTTTACATCTGTACTGTTGGTATATACTGGCATGGAATTAGTAAAGAATGGATAGGTGATGACTCTATTACTACAGCTAATATAACATTGGTAAACAAACAATTCCTTTGCTTCAGGCCAGACATAATAAATACCAAAGACGTACCTACCTATGAAAAGTTTCTTTAAATAATAATAATATAAGGTAATTTTTTTTTAATGGACGAAAATGAAATGGTAGCCCCGCTTGCGTTAATGATATATGCTGGCGGAGCACCGGTAAGGGATGATAGATGATAATGGAATGGTACTGCCGTCTGCGCTAATGGTGTATGCTGAGGGATGATAGATTAAAATGAAAAGGCAGGTCAGTTAGCTCATTGTAATGATAACATCTGGAATTTAGCATGGGCTAATTTTGGTTATTGCAGTTCGACGCGAAGTTTATAATTCTGAATCTTTGATGAGCATGAAAGTGGGGTACAGTGTAATGGACAGTATTGACAGTGACAGTGACAAAAATTACAAAATGTAATATTTGATAGTAAAATAACCTATACTTATTATAAAATACAATGTTTTTATTTAATATTTAAGTACAAAAATGTCTCAAATAACAGAAAATTATATTAATAATGTTATTAATTTAATTATATCTGATCTTAACCTGGTAGAGTGCCATTATTCACAAATAAAGTTTGAGTCAATAGCTCAAAATTATTTCGGCGTTCTAATCCCAGTAATTTTAACTGGAAAAAATGGAGAAAATGAAGTAACTTTAGATATAGTTTTAAAAATTGCTCCTACCGATGAAAGATTTCGGGTAAGTGGAGCGCTCACTCAGTTTTTTGCTAAAGAAATATATGTTTACTCGACCATACTGAGAAAATACCAAGAACTGCAGAATGATGTGCCTTTTTCAATGCAATTTGTTAGCCCAAAATGCTATTATATATCTAAGGAATATTGTAACGAAGTGATTGCCATGCAGAATATGTGTAGTGATGGTTATCAACCATACACTCAAAATATGTTTGTAGACATAGATCATGCTAGAGTATCCTTGATATCATTGGCAAAGTTCCATGCATTATCTTTTATTATGAAAGAAAGGGATCCAAAACTGTATGAAGAAACAAAAGCAATATGTGTGCCATTAAGCAATCAGAGCAATAAAAGGTTTATGGATATCTTGATAGATAGACTACAAAAAGTAATAAATGTATTTGAAAATTCTGTGTATGAACTATTATTGAGGAATCTAAAAGAGAATTGTAGATATATAGTTGAATCTATATCTTCAGCTGTAGAACAAACTTGCATATGCCATGGGGACATTTGGAAAGAAAATTTACTCTTTAAATATATATATATATATATATATATATATATATATATATATATATATATATATATATATATATATATATATATATATATATATATATATATATATATAACAGTACTAATTGGATAATGCATTACAATATATATAAAAGTCTTGTTCAAGAGCAAGCATTATAGAAATTATAATAATAATAAATTATAATTATAATAATATTAAATAAAAAGATATATTTTTCGCAATTGCAACATTAGAAGATCATAGATGTAGACCATTCAATGGTTAGACAGTCAAATATTCAAAATTTTTGTTTATGAATAGCCTTCTACTACTACACACACCTTTTAAATTCTAATTTTATTATAAGAATTAAGGCATGAATAACAAATTTAATTTTATCAAGAACTCCTCAGCTTCACGAGCAAACAGTCTTGTTAAATCATATTTCTTAAGTTTAAATTTAATTTTTAATTAGCATATTAAAATATTGTTGCAGGAGAAGAAACCAGTAGCAGCTTGCTTGATAGATTATCAAACAGTTCGTATGTCCAGTCCAGCATATGATACTCTATTCTTTATTATAACAAGTACACAGTCTGAATTAAGGCATAAACATTACCAAGAATTATTAGATATTTATTACCAAACTTTTAATAAAGTTTTGAAAGAGGTGGGTTTAGATTCACACACTTTATATTCAAAGAAAATGTTATATGATGATTTAAAAATTGTTGCTCCTGCATGCTTTATTGTGGCTAACACTGCATTATGGCTATCAAATGGTTTGCAGCAAGAAGGACATGTTAGGAGCAAAAATATCTGGACAACAGATGAAGAAAAAGAAATGGCTGTCAATAAATATAAATCAGTGATTAAAAATATATTAGATGATTTTGTCAGTTATGGATATTTTAGTTTATAACATATTGAATAATTTTATAATTAGAAATTATAATAGTACCTTGTGGGATGTATGTATATACAAAAGAGACCTGAGATATGCCTAAGATAGAGTTTTATGTATTTAATAAAATGTAGTACTACAACTAAGTATTTTTACTTTTGTTATGTTGGAAGTAATACCTTTATATGAATCTATTGTGAGTTAAAATCTAATTGACATTAAATACCTTTTGTTAATATAGAGCTGTCAAAATGATATTGAAAAAAATTAGGATAATCAGATAAATAGACTAAAATATTTTATCACACATATCTTTTGGCACATATATTGTTTTATTTATTATTTGACATAAGTCTATATACACAGACATATATTGATTCTATTATGTTGTTAAAATAATATTTTTTTATAGTAATTTTATTAATCTATAACTGATTATCATAATGAGATTATGATAATCAGAATAATGAAATCACTATTGGGCATGGGTATAACAAAATTATTGTTTTAACTAAAGAAAATAATGAAAACATTTAGTTTATTAACTTGCACATGAAATTAATATGATTTTCTGAATGATTTTTATTATTATTATTATTAAGCAATCATAATGTTAAATTACAGTCTACAATGATCATATTAACATTTCTTTATAAATATTAATAATATTCATAGTCTTTAGAAATGTTAAGGCATAAAAGTACCATGGGCATCACAGCCCATTATGTTGTATAGTATATTATTATGTTCATAGAGCTGGTCCTGTCTGTAAGTTTTTTTTATACAACTTAAAATGGCAAACAAGCTGTGGCCCACCTGATGGAAAGTGGTAACCATCGCTTATAGACATTAGCAGTACCATGGACATAACAGAGTATACTGTTTCGCCCATGATACCTCCATGCGTTGCCATTCCTGAGGACTTAGGTGTTATTCCTCCGTACCCAGTAAATTCACGCCATATCCCACCCTTCAAACCGAAACACAGCCATGCAAACACAACTGCTTCACGGTAGAAACACGAACGGGACAGAGGTACCCAAGCAATCGACTTTTGTACAAAGTCTCCCTCTGGCAATTAACACTTTCCATTAGGTGTTAGCTTGTTCTAAATTACATAAAAATATATTATTAAGGTTCTAAATATAATAGAGATCATGTGAAATATAATAGATATATGCATGGTTTCAGAACTAGGAAAACCGATGAAGTAGTTTCTAGAAGGCGTATCTTGATACGCCATTTTTATCTTGATATAATATATACCAGATTTTAAATTAAACCTTCACGAACACCACTGTGAAAACCGCATCCAATTTGGTGCAGTAGTTGTTGCGTGATATCGAAGCAAACAAACCCACAGGCTAACACAAGATTTCTAAAAAATATTTGTTTTGGATTCTATTCTTAACCCTCGTATTAAGTTTTTCTTAAATACATGGTACACATATACAGATATATACAGACATCGTCTGGTTACAATTTTATAACATTAGTAAGATATTTTTACCTAAGTATTTTTTTTAACGACACGGTACTCTTAGTGTTCACTATCGATATAGAATAATTATTTATTATACTTTCACCTTTGTGCAGATAAACGTAGCATTTCTTTTTATTACCTAACGTTTCCTTTCAAATCGCCGCATGTTACGGATTTTTTTAATTAATTCGCTCATTGTGTAGCGCCGAGGGCTTACGCGGGACGCCAGTTATAATGAATGAAACATTTTATCATTCATTAAAAACATATAAAATGTTATTAATGCCACATACAATCTTCTTTTATTACGGGCTTGAATTCAGTAGGCGTTTTTATTGAAATGCACGGCAATTAATGTTTTTTTTACTTGTTAGAAGAAATATTTTTTAGTATTCTATATTCAATTTATACAATTTTGCGACAGTATTCGTTAGTCAGTATTAAGCAATGTCAGAAATTAAGCAGTATATTACCACCAGAAACATTAGTCAGATTATGAATATATATATGTATGTGTGTGTGTGTATTTTTGCATGTGCGTGTGTGTGCGTGTGCCTGCGTGCGTGCGTGCGTGCGTATATATATATAATTTATTAAACCTTTTATTGTCTAACCAAACAAAGGTGGGGGGAAAGGGATTGTTAGTAATGGAGACTAAGAATCCCATTGCTAGCAATATACTCAACCAGGTCGACCTCCTCGCGGTTCCCCCTGGAAACTGTCATGATTAATTCCTGATGAATTCATCATGATGAGCTAACTGGCCTGTTTTCATTCTCATCTATCACACTTCACTGGTGCTTCGCCAGCGTATCCCGTTTGCGCAGGCAAGGTTATCATTCCATTTTCATTCAATAAAAAAAAAACCAAACAAAGGTTATAGGTAACAAATTGCTACATACTTAATCATAAGTTAGGTGAACTATTGTATTAGTAATGGTGTTAAATCCCACATGTAGGAGAAGATATCAGTGAAATATCTCGTCATCTTCATATACTCTTATTTCATTGCAATATATCATTCACTATCATATATATACTTTTTTTATTTTATCAGTAAATCTCATGCAAGGGAGGAAAGTGGGTTCCAAATGAAATATAGTACTCAAGTACTTAATGGAAGTTCCTTGGTATCTAATTACTAGCACGTGACTTTATTCTTAGATATGATTAGTTAGCTAACTCTATCTTCAACTTTAGTAGCTATAATCACGATTCACTGAAAAAATATTCATATCAAAAACACTTGACATACTTATGTATGGGGTTGTGTATAGGGCTCGGCGAAATATTATTTTGTCGACCGTACACAATGTTGGCTAACCTTTAGCATCCATTAGGGGAAGCCGCAGTATTTTCAACGGAAATATAACTCGCACCGGATGAACCGGCGCACTCAAATCCCCTGCATACCTAATGCAAAACTCCGCCGGGCTAGACCACGGAAATAAAAATAGTTTGTTCTAATTCCTAGTTGAGATATTACTTTTTTTATTCCATTTTTAAATTTTTACTCAATATTGTAAATGTGAAAGTGAGTTTGTTACACGACTGTGAAAAAAAAAACTATCAAAAAAAGCAGTGTTATGTTTTCAGAGTTCATATATATTAGTTTCTTTTTTTCATCATAACTTGTAAATCTCTGTAATATTGTAGGTATGTATGGGATATCGTTACAGTCCTTATATCAACCTGAGTGACACATGTTACCAGCCTATTATTTTAAATTCTCACAGAAACACTAAATGAAATTAGTAACAAATGGAAACATGTATAATTATTTCAGTATGTTGCTATAATTATGTCACATATTTTTCACCACATCTGCCCTTCATACGCTTTTTATTTTTACCTAATAGTTAGGTGGTAGAGAATGCTATATGGCATTAAGCTCGCCACTTGTACAAAGTCTTATTGTGCAATAAAGAATAAATAAATAAATATTCAATTAATTAATCGATTTATGATTGAACATGAACATGAGCAGACTGTCTTATGATTGGATCGATTATTATTCGTTCGTTTATGTTCTCATTAAGTTTATTAAAACAGTAACCGTGAAAATGAAAAATTGTTTCAGATACTAAGTTTTTCTAATTCAAACAAGTTAAATAAATATGTTATTTTTATATTATTTTAGAGTTATATTACAAATGTTATTCACGGTAATCCCAAGTGAATTGGTTGGAGTAAGTGCAGCATCGTGTCCGGGTTAACGCTGCATATTTAGTGCCGGGAGACCTAAGATTGAAATAAATCCGTCCGCCGACCTTTCCCATGAATCGCTGTTTGCTCACGATAAAGCAGAGTAATTTAGCTTTTAGTTCTGTAATGTAGATTTTATTTGCCGTATAATTCGTGGTATGATTATGTACTCTATGAATATACCTATATTTGTGCCATTGAAATCTTCAATTATTTTTGTGTATTTTTTTTTATAGATTTTTTATTATAATAGCTCTACTATTCTCTTTTTCTTGACTTCACCATTCTGAGCGAAAAAATAGTTTAGTCATGTAGGCTGGAAAGAAAGGTCAACCTCAAAATACCTTTGTTTTGCTCTTCTAAATGTCTCAAAAGCATCATAAAATTTCGTGTCTAAGATATTCAAGGTCTAAGGTAAAAAAAAAAACAGTTTTTTTTTTGCAAATATTTCGTTTCCTATAGCTTTTATGCTATTTATATTTATAACAATAGTTTTTTTTTTATAAATTAAACCGGTCTTGAGGCAGAGGGCGCAGAACGCGCAGCGCTTAGGTGTCTACAGCATAATGCAAGATCAACCGTTAGTCTCGTACGCTACCAAATACGCTATATTAAGTCTAATTATAAACCTTAAATAAATATATAATTATAAATAATTTTCTTTTTATATTAATTATGACTCAATATTCAATAATATTTTTCATTATTAAAATTCGTATTTGTTCAATAGCACTTATTTCCACGAACAGGGTAATTAAAATGTTAAAATTTTGATAGCAATAAGACTTTTGGATCGTATTACTACGATCCTTGCCTATCTCCCAGCACACTCTGTTCAACTTGCTCGTATACCTCGCTCAAATATAATAATAAAAAAAAAAAATGTAAATGATAGATTTTGATTCGCCTTTTCTATGTAACTAGTTTTTGCTTTTATATAAGTCTAGTTTTATATGATAAATTTGTTTATCATTTGCCCATAGGTGCTGGATAATTGAAACTAGAATTAAATGAAATTACTATTTACACTCGTAAAAACACTTATTCTAATTAACTGATCTATCAACTCATTAAATTCGATATAATGGATGTAATTTATATTCAACATATCGAAATTATAAAGCTTTATGAAGCGGGCGACCATTAAAAATCAGATTAAAAAAAATCTCATAGGGAATCGAATTTCGCGTAAGAGGTCGTGATCTATGACGGCCAATAAAAAACATAATAAAAAACACAGGACACAGCAATGAATATAATATATCTTATATTTATCTAAAAGATAGAGAAATAAAAATGTAACTACTTACGTAATAGAATGATCAAATTGCAACAGGACCGTAATTGATTTGAAAACTTCTCTAAAAGTTATGTAGGTATTTCTTTGTTAGTCTGGACATTTTCAAGTCTCCCGACTTAAAGAAATTCACTGTAATTCCCTGAAGTGGTGGTTT